AATGCCAGGCATACAAGCAAAAGTACCAAGTTGTTTCAGGAAGGAATTTGAATAGAATTCAAGAACTGGATGTCTACCTCAAGCTGGAATCCATTTTCATTAATAAAATATTAGAAACTTATTAAATCACAAGAACAAAAATGAAACCTCTACATGGGTTTCAAATCCATAATTCAAGATTTCATGAACTTCTGCTACAACCTTTCCAAAAATGGTAACCTTGACCACATCAAGAAAACAGACTGTTCTTTATTCATTTTATCATGTACCCAAATAGACTGAATTTATATGGAAATTATCTCAGCAATGAAGCAGCACAATCAGGATAGCTAATTATATATGTTAAAAAAAAATTTTAAGTCAGAAACTTTAGTTCTGGTTATATAACTTAAAGACCTGAGAAAATGTGATAAAAGAATCCTTCGCAGTACTTTAATGAGAATTCTGTGACACATACAGACTAAAAGGAAGGAATACAACAGGGACACCTATTTTTCTAGAATTTTGACGGCACTCAGCCTAATGATATATTTGTCTAGATCTGTTTCTTCTTGGTCTTCCACGCCTACTTTGAAAACAAATAAATAAGGATACCATCACACTTCTCGCCAACCCCATTCTCCCTTCAATGCAAATTATAAGTGTCTCTATGATGTTATTCCTTAATATGTCCCACGTTTTTAAGTGCCTTTTGCCTTAAATATATACCCTCTACCCTTCAAATCACCACCAGGGAGCTTTCCTTTATGCTGACCTTTCTTTGGCCACTCTTGATCCCTTGAGAATATACTAACCAATAATTTTGCATTTGCTAATAATAATCATGCCAATTCATCATCAGTATTTTGAAATTTGTACAGCCTTGGTTCCAATCCTTTCCACCTATCATAATGTACATGGGAAACGAAACAGTAATGATTTTGCATAAGTTTCAGTCTCCCAAGCAAAGCTGACAATGATTTTCACAGCTAGTGGCATCTTTCAGATGATAGGAAACACAGGAAACAGAGATTAGAACACTTGGCCATGTGTGATCTCTGGCATGCCTGCATTAGAATGCCAACTCTATTACACAGACCCACACAGAAAATATATTAATATATTTCTATGACCTAAATATTTTAAAACTGTAAACCTCCTGACTTAATGGTCTGAATTAAGAATTATCTGAAGGTCACATCCTGGTATCATATATGAAACACAAAAAGGAATCCTACAAACATACTACATAAAAGTAATACATGAAAAAAAAAAAAGTAATACATGACTTACTTATTGCTGTGTACCATTATGATTACTATATAGGTTACAGGAAGTTCTTGGGTAATTTTTACATTTTTATTATCACCTTAAAGATAGTTGTTTCTCTCATTATCACTCACTGATCTATTATTGTAGCTCCTTTTCATTAGAAATCTAATGCAGAATACATTCAGAACAAGAAGAAATGAGAGGGTACTCTAAATCACCAGTCCTCTGCAGGTACACAAGCTGAAGAACATTTCCTCACTAACATTCAGCTGCATCATCATTAATAGCTGCGCAACCACTAAATGCTAAGCAGTGTGTACACCTCATAGCTGTACATCATTGTACAAATAATACTTCCTTTAGTGAACTTGTAGTTCAAAGTGCTGAACACATCTATATTGTAAATTATACTGTTATTTTCCATTAGTTTGTGTAACATTTCAATCTGTGAACAAGTATGCCTTAATGTGGTAAACATAGGCAGAAGTCATGTCTCATTCAGAAATTGAGGTCAGATTCTTAAAGGAGTAGTTAAAACTCTTAAAACATTACAAAAATAAATACATCAGCCTAAATCGCAAAGACTTCCAAAGATAAAATACCACTTAAAAGGGGTACACGAAAGAATGTCTGAACTAAAACAAGTTAACAATATATCCTGTACAACAAGGTGTAACTTATTACTGTCAGGAACCTCCCTAGAAGCCTTGGGAGACCAACGAGAAACAGATCTGCACAAAACAGATCTGTTTCTCGTAATAAGGTGTAACTTATTACTGTCAGGAACCTCCCTAGAAGCCTTGGGAGACCAACGAGAAACAGATCTGCACAAAACGGAACAGAGTAAAAACTGTAACTGTATCACCTCTCTAAAAGCTCATTTATTCTTTGTGACCTCTAAGTTTATCCTACACATTTGATGACTCGATTACAGTTATATAAAATACATAATTGCCAGTAGAGATAATGGTCATGAGCACAGGTTCAAAAGTCAAAAAGCCAAAGTCTGAATCCAGGTTCTGCCATTTACCACCTGCGTATACTTGGCCAAGTTATTTAATTATCTGTGCCTGAGCTGCCTCATTTGAAAATGAGAGTAATAGTGCCTACCTCCTAGAGTTATTGTGAAGATTATGAGATAACACACATAAAGCTCATAGAATAGTACCTGTTTATTAAAATGAAGTTATCAAATGTTTCCAAACATATGTCCCTGATAATAATTACTCTTTATATTCATAAGTGCTTCAAGTGGCATACCAGTTAAGCTCCTCACTATATTATACAAGACACCTTTGAAACTTTAAGTGCTCACAAAATCGAATAGTGAAGCCACCTCTGACTCCATACTAAATTCAAGAGACAGTATTCAAACTCCCCAAAATTTGCACTTGATGGTAAACTGGCAAAGAGTGAAATTCTAAATTATCTTTTGCCAAAGTAAAGGCAAAGAAAATGATAATCATCTAGAACTTACCAGAGAAGGTGCACAGAAAAATTTCCAGTACTAGAAAAAGATCTGTTTAAAGCAACAGGATCTGTGCACTGTGTCTGGAAACCTACTTTGGATCTCTTTTCAAGTGTACTTACTAGCTTCACCTCATTTATCACTTAAAGCCTTAAAAGAAAGCCACAGTTAATTTTGAATAACCTGACCTTGAACATTTCAGATACACTATATGCAGGAGCATCCTATTATGTCTTCTCTCCAATAACTAAATCAAATGGCATCATTAATGAAAATCAATCTATATTTTCCCTTTTATTAAAACATCCAGAAAACAGTACTTTTAAGTATTTTTAAATGAATGATTTTTTTTAATGTTAGCACAATAATTTACAGAAGTTTTATTATCCTGTAATTGTCTAAAAGTTTTTCATTACCAATGTCCTATTTATCCATAATGCTGGGACATCCGAATTTTAAATACCAATATTTACCTGGCTGACCCAATACAGCAGGAAATGGGTATTCCAATATAAAAGCAGTACATAAAATATACGCAGTACCTTCAAAGGACTACCAAGCAACGAAAAGCAGATCTTATATAAACGCAACTACAGCATCAAAAGAGAAAGTCATCTTACTTGAAAAAGTAGAGGCTTTCTCAGTTTTTTCAGGTGATGGCATTCATACTCTGCTCCCCAGTTTTCAAAATCTTTCAAGGCCCTGCAAATCCTGTTTGTTTGACTGCTGAAATCCTGTGGTTGACAAACATTTCCCCTCAAAACTTAGTTGTCCATATTATTTATTTTCAATTTTATTAAGTGATCCTCTGAAAAGCACTTGAGGATTTTAGTTACCAACATGTCTCCTTAAAAAACTACCAATAAATCCCACACATCTTGCAGCCTACTCATGCTTTATGGTGCTCCTTAAAACAAACAAACAAAAAACCACCTTTCCCAGGGTTGAAATGGCTAATATGAACTGATGGCTTTCAACTTCCCAGGACCTGCATTATAGCCTTAAACACCTTGAGATCCTGAATTGTGCTGCAGCTATCAGCAGGCGCATGATCACAAGGCTTTTCCACAGCCCCAGATACTTCACTGCTGCAAAACTTCTCATAAGCGTTCTAGGCACTAGATTGTTAACAGTGTTGGCTTAACTGTTTTACCTGTTTATTTACCAACCCAAACATCTCGGGGAATTCAAAGCCTTCAAACTGCCTTCCGAAACCTATCCCGTGTATTCCCGTGTTACTCTGAGAAAGATCTGCAGCGGGATAATAATTTGAGTTCGGCATCCCCTGACCCAAACTGCTGTTGCCAGGATATGCGGTAGTAATGCAGTGGTTTCTTTGAGATTGAGGATGTATTTTAAGCCCATCTCTACTAAATCCCTTTTAGTACCCGAAACTGCTGCGGTAACAATGCTTAAATGGAAGGTATTCGAAACAGCCGAAAGACGTGTTGTTCTAATTTGGCCTTATTTTTTTCCTCAATAATGCTTGCCATGGCAAGGACATTTTTCCATACAACGTCTGCAACTGAAGAAAGAAAAATCAAGCTTTTGGTACTAGTCATCACCTGCTTGTAGTCCATTATCAGGACACTTCTTACAAATCTCTCGAGGTAGGATTTGGGGCTAAGCTTACATCGACCATCATCCTGCAACTTACTGTTTTCCAAGCCCATTTAATGGTCTAATGACAACAGCAACATTTACGCCCGGAGAAATCTCAATATCTGACTAACCAAAGCGTCTGATAACTAAGCCCTCTTTCTCCGGGTGAGGATATGGAAAAATAGACAATGAAAGGGATTTATCTGTTACAATGAGGAAAGAGGGGGAAGGACCCCAAGAAGAGCCGTGCGAGCAAAATCCAGGGGTTCGGGAGCCCCGGTCTCAGCAACACTCGCCCCAAGCCCGCCCTCCCACCCCAACCCAACCGCCGTGTCCCCTGGGAGACAGCCCAGCGCCCGCAACACGCTGGGCACACCCGAGGGCAGCACAGCCCTCCTCCCACCCCCAGCGGCCAGGCTGGGGCTCCCAAACCCACAGCCCGAACAGGCCGAGGCCGTAAACCCGGCGGCCTGAGGTAAAGAGGTAAGAGGATACGGGGTGAGAGGAGATGCGGCCTCGCCTCAACCGGGAGGCCCCTTGAGGAATCAGAGGAGGGAGAAAAGGGAGCCGGTTCGGAAGCCGGAGCAGACCCCGGAGAGAAAGCGAGCTGGGAACGGGGGATGAGGAGGTTCCGGCTCGGCCAGCGCCTTCCCCGGACCTCGGCGACGCCCGTGTTTACCTGAAAGTCTCGGTCCTCGTTGAAGCGGGAGAAGCGGTCCGCCATTTTGCCGCCTTCACTCCTCTCACGACGACGCTCC